TTTTATATTAAATTTAGAGCATTTATATTAAATTTAAACTGTCAAATTCATAAGTATATTTATTAATTTTTTTAAAACTTTTATATATTTTTTAAAAATATAAATTAAAAACAAAAATATTAAATCTAAATTATTTAGATTAAATTTAAATGATTTAGATTTACTTTTGCTTCAAAGGAGAGGCGAAGGAGGTTTTTTTTCAAAGGAAAGAAGCCAACTCTAATGACCCTTCATGATTCTCTTTCTCTCTCTATTTTTTTTTTTTTAATTCTCTTCTTCCCATTTCCTCTTTTAAATGAGATAAAGAATGTCAAATTAATATAAACCCCCATTGAATAGGATTGTATTATGAACGGCCGCTGCATGTGTATTTTAAGATGCTTTTTTTATATACCTTTCATCTTAAATTATAAATATTTTAAAATAAAATCTTATATATCAATAAAATTTATTAACTAAATAAATTTTATAATTTAAATTTTTTAAAATAAAAATATAAACTTTTAAAAATATTTTTAATTTAACACTCCATTGATGAAATAACATTAAAGAGATAGAACATATAAAAAAAATAATATTAAAAAAATATTATTAATAAAAATTTAATTTTATCAAAGTATCTTATATTTTAAGATCTTGAATCTTTTTTAAAAGTTTTTTATATTTTGAGATAGAGGAAATATTTATTTAAGGCGACTGTATATTTCAACTCTCAAACTCAAGATCATAAAATAAATTGATTCCACTCTTTCAATCAATTTAACCAAACGACCTCAGTAGAATAAGAAAATTATTTTAGGTGATTAAAATTTAACCTACTCAATTTATAACCATAAAAATATTCAATAACAATATGTAATTATAAATTGGGCAGGTTAAATTTTAATATTTAGATTTAATTTTTCATATGATAATAATTGTATAAAATAATTAAATTTTTATAAGAAATAATTAAATATAATTATTAATTTTATTATTTAATGGTGGAGACGAGACGAGTAAGTGTGTGTTTGGTTTTCAGTTTGCTAAAAGTTCATTTGGTGAAAGTTCATTTGGTAAAAGTTAGTTTAATGAAAATTAGTTATTGTAATAAAATTTATGTTTGGATATATTTTTTCAAAAGTCAATTTAATACATTGAAAGTTGTTTGGTTTGTGATAGTGAAATGTGCTTTTAAATGTACAATTATCAAAAAAGACATTGATTTATAATGATTTATAATTTTTATTATACAAATATAATATATTTAAAATATTTAAAAAATGTAATAAAGATTATAAATAACATAAATTTTGATCTATAATGCTAAAAATTCAATCTCTAATTATTTGTATTTTTTAATTTATAATTTTAAAAGATGTAATAAAAATTTATAATTTTTATTATACATTAATGCTAAAAATTAACATAATTAATTACTCAATTTATAATGCTAAAAAAATTGATATCTAATTATTATTATTAAAATAATAATTATATTTTTAATGAATTAACTATTTTTTAAATAAAATATAAGAGATTAAACTTAAGGTAGTATGATCAAATAACATCTTACTTTTCAAATGCACTTTTTAAAAGCTTCAAACAGTTACGTTTCAGAAATTTACTTTCAACTACTATTTAAATGTACTTTCAGGATGTGCTTTCTTGTAAAATATTCTATCCAAACAATTTTTAATTTTTTAAAAATAAAATTTTATTTTTTGAACGTAAAAAGGAGGAAAATCAAACAGGCTTTAAAAAGAATAAAAAAAAAAAAAAGAAGATTATGAGAAGATCCGCTTCCAGAAGAGTGGATGCAAATTGTGTCAGAGTTGCAAAGAGAGAGATGACAGATGTCGAACACGTGGGGGAGGAAGAGGTGGAGAGAAGGATTCAAGTAAGCGTATTAAGGGCATTCAAATCACTTCATTGATTCATTCTGACCATATATTCCTTTAAAAATGTTTGGAATTTTATTGTCATCTTCAAATATTTTGAGACTTAGTTTTAATTAAATTAGCCCTTGGGATCAAATTGTCATTCTCCCCTTATTATACACACTTTTTTTTGTAGGTGGTTTAATTTTGGACTGAATTAGACGGTCCTTGATCACATCTTTATGAAAATAAATAAATGTATAGATTGATTAGTTTATTAAGTGTCTATCAATTATTTAAATATTTATATTTTTAACACCCCATCATTTAATTATAGAAATGCTGACATGCCAGATCTTGTTATTTTGCACCATCCCAAATCTTGGTTCGTGAGATCCTTATCTTTGAAACTTATAAATAGAATTTAGAGAGACTTTTAGATAAAGATCATGAATATGACTTAATTACTGGAGAGTTTTAAAAAAATTTAAAATTTAAAATTTTAATTTAATCAAAAAAATAAAAGTAAAAATAATTTTAACTATATAAAAAAATTAAAATATCATTCACTTTATAGAATTATTAATTTATTAATATCACTTATAAATTACATCTGTTTGTCAATTAAGTAGTAATATTAATTATTAATTTGTTAACTTTACTTGTCAACTTACTAACATAAATTGTAAATTACAAAACCTATCAGTAATTTATAATTAATGTTATTATATAATAAGACATGTCAGTAATTCATAACTGATATTAATAAATTAACAAATAAAATTAACAATTTAATAACTAATATTACTGCTTATTATTAAATAATTTATGTTAAATCTTATATAATTATTGACATGTCTACTTATGTAATTTGTAACTCATATTAATAAATTAATAAGTGAAATAAAAAATTAAAATTATTTTGATCTTTTTACAGTTAAAATTATTTTTACTTTTATTTCCTTCAACTAAACTGAAGTTTCATTTTTTTTTTTGAACATACTAATAATTAAGTCATATCCCTAATCTTTATTTAAAATTCTATGTAGAATTTATTACATATTATTGGACTATAATACAGAGGCTACCAATTTCTAAAGTCAATGTCCTTATTTTATAGTTCATGACGGTTACACTAACACTCATCATTCAGCTGAAACTGATCAATCCAGCTGTCAAGGGAACTCTTAATGCTCTCAAGTCATGTGCTAAATTTCCATCTGTGAAACAACTTGTTTGAACATCCTCCATTGCTTCAGTTGCATATAATAGAAAGCCTAAAACTCTTGAAGAAGTTGTTGATGAGACCTGGTTTTCAGATCTTGATTTAAGTAGGGAATCTAAGGCATACATTGTATTTTATTGTGCTAAATTACTAATGCAGAAATGAGTAATATTGTCCAACGGCCATCCAACATTAAGGTGGAAGGGCCTTACACAGGTAGCATCATGGTGTTAATAGAGATGTGATATATATAACAGGTTAGTCACTAAATATGTAGATTAGTTAGATGTTGCTTCTTGTTTTCTCTCTCTTTCCTTGTTTCTGCAACCAAATGGCAGCTATGTTCTACATCAATACTGCATAACATTCCATATACGGAGAAATTATTAATAAATTAATAAATTAAAAGAAAAACTCCATGACATGCTCAACAAGAATATTGTATCTTGGCTATCACTGCAAGGACATCCACGAAGGCTTATCATCCAAGGAACCATCTCAGACCTTACCCAAATTCTCAGCCAGATCATTTATATCTTCTTTTATCATTATTTTCATCTTGCCTACCCAAGGACCCCTAGACATGTTGCTATTTTTCATTAGAGTATATTTTGCAACCTTCTGAGTCCAATATTTTACTTTGACTAAAGTCACTTTCTTTTAATTTTGATATCACATAGTCGTTCCAATGGATGCAGATGTGATTTTGTCATTGCATTGCCTTAAGTTTCCTGTTATTTCCAATTTAGTGCTTTTAGCTGTGATACAGAGGTTCCAAGATTCTGGCTGAAGATGCTACATGGAAAACTGCAAAGGAGAACAACATTGACATGGTTACCATCAATCCAGCTACAATGATTGGACCACTCTTGCAACCAACACTTGACACAAGTGCTGCTGTAATTTTAAATCTAATCAATGGTAATCAATTGTAACTTTTACATATTTAGAAATCATTTTGAGTTACTACACCATCTTCAGCAAAATGAGTTTTGCGGCTCTAGTCAATGAAAAAATAATGATGATTAGTGTGAAAAGATGGAAAGAACATAAACAAGTAAAAGAAACGGAAGGTCATGACATTTTCAAACAGTAAGGTCAAAACTGGTCTTTCCATCGTTGCTCGGTGCATGTGCACAGACATTTCCAAATAATAGTTTTGGATGGGTCAAACTTGAAAGACGTTGCAAATGCCCACATTCAAGCACTTGAAACTCCTTCAACTAGTGGAAGATACGTTTTGCTTGAGTGCGCACATTTCTCTGATATTGTTAAGATTTTGCGTGAGCTAGACCCATTGTAGCAACTTCCTCAAATGTAAGTACAATCCTGTCTACATATTTAAAAAATTCTTGTTTTCGGCAAAATAAATAAATAAACAAAAATGCTTCCTTAATCATATACTGCTCTCCAATCTTATTGCCACAGCTTAAGTTATCTCTAAGTTTCCTACTTCAATTGTCGCCTCTGCTCTCCCGCAATATATTATTATTTTGATAAACCAAATGGCTTGCTCTCTCTCTCTCTCTAAATGCATTTGTTTAGTTCAAGTATTGTTTTTGTTTCAAATTCTCACTAATTTCAAATCTTGGTTCCCCATCATACTCGATAGGTATGCAGACAATAAGCCATTGAAGCCAAAATATCAGGTTTCTTAAAAAAAAAAAAACAAAAGCAAAAGCATTGGGGATTGAATTCATTCCATTGGAAGCCTCAAGGAGACTGAAAAGTTTGAAAGAAAAGCAATTCGTCAACTCTTTCCTCTGTAATGCCTCTTTGAAGAAGTAATGATGAAAGTCGATCAGCTAAAGCATGCTTTAAGTTGGTATCTTTGGAATTAATAGCTCTACCTCTTCTGTCACAAGACATTGAAAGAAGGGATGCAAAGCTTGTATTATGCATATAAACTTCAGGAATTCCCATCATAAACACAAACTATTATTCAAACAAACTATATAAACCCCATGTGCATGGCAATTTAAAGTCAAAACACAAATTGAGAAAGCAAATTAATCAGAAAAATAAATTGTTCCCCGTGTACATGTATATTTATCTTGAGAGGTTTGCTTGTCCTTGGAGGTTTAGCAAATCACCAGAACAAATCCTTCAACTAAAAGAACGTGAACATTGGCAATGCATTGGAATGCCATACTTTAGAAGAATCAAACAACAATCCTTGAAACAAGATGGGAAATGCGAAAAACGGCAAGATTCACTACAAGAAGAACACAACTCAGAATCCTTAATAGTTAATACAGTAACACTGAAAAAAAGGGGAGGGGGTTTATGGAGTAAAAAAAGGTTTATTCCAGGCAAAACATAAAAAACTACATTGCCCGAAAATATAAATTTCATTTCTAATGAAGATGGGTTGCAGCAAATATATTAAGCATCTCTGACCAGAAAACTAGAACACTTGTCTGTTAAGAAGGCATTCCATTTCAAGAAAAGGATGATGTAGCAGTCCAGCTTAATCTCGACTTCATTAAAATTATGTTTAAGTTCCAGCCAAAAGCATTCCGACTTAAAACAATGAATAAGCTTTTATCACCTGAAGTTTGTGCCATGAGTTTCAAAAGATCAAATGCAAATAACCAAGAATTATATAACAGGGGCATGGCAATGTGCAACCTTTCCCGTTTTGTGGTGCCTTTTGTTAGAACCCAATGGTATTCAATCAAATTCCATTTGAAGTTTAACCTGTTCATGCACATTTGAATTATTATCTAGAAAGTGTCCAATTAGCATGATCATGGTTAGGATTGTTGTGTAAAATTAGCATGACATCTTTACATGATGCAGACTATTGAGCAATGATATATTAACAACATAATTTTTGCATAAAAATAGAAGACTTTCATTCAATAGTGAACAGAAAGATACAAAGAAACTGAACTTGCAGTAGAATTTATAGGGTTGTAGATGCTTATAGGATGCTTATGGATTTACATGTGACTGTATGGATCCTAGAAAACAGGGTGGATTTCTCTTCTTTACTTTTTTTTCTCCACTGTCTTCCCACTGCAAATCTAACCGTTCAAATTAAATCTGTCTTTTTAAAAAATTATCAAATCTAAATTTTTAAATCCAATTTAACGGTTCATATCTGCATCAATTTCTCATTCTCTCTCCTTTGTAAAGGAGAAAATCGAGCTCCCTAGAAAACTTTATGGAAGAATCCTACCCCACCTAGAAGTAATTTACTGTTATTCTTTTTGCCTTACGGTACTGCAAAACTCAACTAGTGCAAGCTTAATACACACACACACATGTTCCCATGTGGGTTGAACCATATAACATATAAGAAAAATGCAGATACATATGAAAACAGGGGATCAAATGCAATAATGGATAGTTCATAAGTATCGTGAAAATCACAGTTATCAGCTTAAGATCAACGACCTATCCTAAAATTTTAAAGTCAACTTAGTTACTAAATTCGCCCAATACCCTTTTTTAATAAAAGAATTTATTTGTCAAAGTCCTTCTTAACACTAAACAACATAAACAACTAGAAGTTGAATAGGCCAGCTCAGTGCACACGTTTCATTATTCTCTACACCTTATTCCATCATCTAACAAATTCCAGGCATACAAAAAACAGAAATTCAGCTTCTTACATTAAAGAATGAAGCGCAAGCTGTTCAACTTTATGATAAAATGCAAGTAAATGAGTTCTCACCCAGACAAGAATTCATCTTTAGTAGCTTCTTCAATACATAAATTCAATTATAACTGACTCTTTTTTTGGTTTCCTCAAAAGACAAAAGCTTCCCATTCAGATGCAAAATGCAGTTTAGAGGATCTTCATCCAAAACAATTATGCCTAGCACTCTCAAAACTTTTACACTATGTATATTACATCGTTATCCAAATATGAAACAACAGACAAACTGAGACAAGTTGCAAACAAGCAACTAGATGCAGTCTTATCAACCCTGTCAAAATGACAGGAAGAAATCTAACCATGAAATATCAGAAAAGTAGAATGAACCAAGCATGCAAAGTGACAAGTAGCGCAAAATACATGAATCAGAATCCTTAATACAGTAACACTGACTCTCTCAAAATACATAAACCCTACATACAAGTAGTTCAGGCAGTCTACCTTTTCTTTTTTGGGAAAAAAGTTTTCCAGGTTCAGGAAATGAAACTTAGATCGAAACTCATCACTGCTCTAAATACTTTCCCCATTACCCTATCTTCTTAGCAGAGATAATTCTCAGAAAGAAGCTGAGGGTAAACGAAGTGGGTTTATTAATGACAGGAAATGCATAATCTCTGTTTCAACAACTGAAAACGAAACGCACCACCGCTAATAAGAAACCAAGAACAAAAAACGAACAAAGAGGGGTTTCTCAGGAAGAACCCAAGAACGAAAACGAAGGAAGTGGGTTTGGGGATGAAATTATACAATAAAAAAATTTGAACCATTTCTCGATTTGTGCGTGTCATCCTTGCGCAGGGGCCATGCTAATCTTCTCTGTATCGTTCCAATTTTATCGGATGTCCCCGAAGGGACAAGCTCACGTCTGTGCTTTATATATATAAAGAACGAAGTTGATTGAAGCTTATGCGATGTGGGACTCGTACTGAAAAAACACCAACGTGGACACACCATACCTATAGAAGTCGTGCCCAACGGAGACAAAGAAGCATTAAGAAGGAGAATCAACTTGCACGAAAGAAGATGAAGTTCGTCGAAGAAAGCATCAGTGGAGTGAACAAAACAAATACAACGGAGATAAAATTGAAATTTAATTTAATTGAGTTTATCAAAAAAGAAAAAATTGCCCATCAAGGCAGCCTAACATAGTAGGATTAAGATGTAGGTTCTGATGTACTATAATGACTTTCAGTTCGGCAATCTCTCTCTCCCTGTCTTATCACAAATTTTACTAATCAAGTTTTTTTATTTTTTTTTCCTTTTTGAATTAATGGAGATCAAGCTTATTTATTACTCGCGATAGTATTCATAAGATAAGTTAATTTTATCTCATTTATAAATTAAGGTATGAATTTTTAAATAATATTTAAAAAATATTTTTAAAATTATATTTTATAAAATATAAAAAATAATATTTTAAATTTTTTATATAAAATATATTTAAAATTTTATATAAATTTATTTTAAAAAAATTAGTTCAACGGCCTCAAAAAATATAAGTCCCATAAATTATGGATGAGATTTTTAAATATTTTAGAATATGGCCCATTTATAAAATTAATTAAATATATTTTATTTTTTATCCTTAGATTAAACTTATTATTAAAATATAATATATCTATTATAACTAATTCTTAACTGATTGAATCTTTCTTTTCTTATTTCTCTAAATCATTTCTTTTTTTCTTTGAATATAAAATTCCTGATGCCTTTCTTTATCGCAATGCTTTTCTTCTCTCTCCCTCTCTGTTTTTCTCAGAAACACTATGAAGAGAACATCAGACATTAAAAAAGAATCTTCATTTTTTAAAGCAGAAGATTAGGTTGAAATCTATTATTTGTCATCAAATTTTGACTATCTTTACATCTTTCGATAACATTGAAATTTTTTACAGACTGTGTTTGATTCATTTTGAGCAAATGATTATGTATTTTTTATATTACTGATTTGTGATAATATATCATTGATATACGTTAATATATCAATGATAAATAAGTTTATATATGATTGTTTAGTTATGTTAATTGACGATAGTATATCAGTCATATACAACAGTATATCAACGATGTAATATCATGAATTAATAACACGTAAAACACAATCATTTGTCTAAAATGGATCAAACACAATTCACAAAATTTTTTGAACTTTTAGTTTATCACAGAGAGTCAAATACCTAAATTAATAAAATAAAAAAATTATAAATATGTAACTCCATTCCCCTTCAGTGTGCACCGTTCTATTGAGTACCATCGATGTATTTCACCTTGCATTTGTCTTATTGTAACTGTAGCTCACTCACACTGCTTTGTTGCCGCACGTTCGTCTTTCTCATGCCCAGTTCTATTGTCTCTCTCGCATTTATATTTTAAAAAAATCATTTTAGACTCTAAATCTTGTGTTCATTACATTTAGTTTCAGAAATTTCTTACATGTTGAATCTTCTGATATTTGCAAAAAACAAAATTAAAAGGACAGTTTTACAAATTAATTATAAATTAAATATTTAAAAAGTTATTTTTAAAATTAAAAAAATAAGTTATTTTTTTATTTAATCTTATGATATGAGTGAAATGCGCAAAAGTCTCTTCATTTTTTAAATTTTTTATATTAATATTAATTATGTTGATAAAAATAGACAAATATTTTATTATATGCATAATGATAACTCTTCAGTTCTACAATCGCTCTCTCCCGGTCTTATCATAAATTTTAATAATCATTTTTTTTATTTTTGTCCTTTTTTGAATCAATGAAAACCAATTTCATTTGTTATCATATTATTTTTTTTATTTGTCAAATTTTACTTTTAATTTCAGTAATTTTTTAATATTTTTAATCTTTACATAGACTTATAAGAATTTTAAAAATATATTTTATACAATCTTTTTAAAATTATAAAAGTTAAAAATATTAAAATAATTAAAAATAAAAATTTAATAAAATTATTTTTGACCAAAAGGTGAACTTTATTAGAGGATAAATAAGGAAACACATAATTCCATGAGTCATATTCTTTTGGCCAAGCCCCACGCATCTGGCTCAATGTACCGCTAGCGTTAAGACTTGCCTAAGTTTATTTTAGAAAAAATTATAATTAGGTCTCAGAGGATTAATTTAATTCAAACTAAAGTCCCAAAACATTGAGAAAAGATTATTAATCCTAAAACATTTTAAAAGCAATAATGTAAGAGCCTAAATGCTTTTAATACACTTCTCTCTCCACCTCTCCCTCCCGTACGTTTTACTGTTGTTATCTTTCTCTCTCCAATGGAGGCACAATTTCCCTCCATTACACACGCACACTCTCTCTCTCTGTGAATATGGCTACACCAAAAAGTTTATTTTAAAATTTTTACTTTGTACTTATTAAAATAAAAATTTAAAAAGAATATAATGTTTTTAATAAATTTGTTTATAAATAATATGAATAGTACAAATGTAATCTAAATATTTTGGTTTAATAAAAAATATAATTTTTATAAATTAATTATTCAAATTTAATATGAATGGTCTAAATTTTATATTAAATTTATTTATATTTTGATAAGTTTTTATTTAGATAACTATAATATTAGAAATAAAGATAATCACATAACTGAAACATTCCAAAATATTGTAAGAAAAAATTACCATTTAAAATTTTAAATTTAAACTGATGAGTAAATTTATATTGTTAATTTATAAAAACAATGAAGAATTTTAATATTCAATTTAGACTATGAAAATTAAATTTGAACTGTTCAAATTAATGAAAAATGGTAATTGTGTAGATTTATTAAAAAATTTATCCTTTTTCAAAATTTTTATCTTAATAAATTTAAAATAAAAATAAAAATTTTAAATCTAAATAATCCAAATACTATCTATAGTAGATATTTTCATGATAAGCAACATAGCAGCGGTGTAGTTGAACCCATAATTGATAAGCCTAACTTGCAAGAAGAAAGAGTATGTATTTGATTTTTAATTTGTTAAAAGTTAATGTGACAAAAATTTATTTCACAAAAATCAGTTTGGTGGAAGTTAGTTATTATAATAAAATTTTTGTTTAGATACATTTTTTAAAAAATTAGTTTAACAAACTAAAAGTTGTCTGAATTAATAAAAATTTATACTTTTAAAATGTACTTTTAAATATATAATGATCAAAAAGGACAATAATTTATGATAATTTGTAATTTTTATTATACAAATATAATATTTAACAAATGTCAAAAAATTTAAAATAACATACAATTTAAAATGTTGAAGAATAAGAATAAAAATATAAAATTTAATATTAAAAAAATTATGTAATAAATAGTTAAACATTTATTAATATTCAATAGTTATATTTTGTATCTTACCTCATCATTGTCTCCTAATCCTTTGGTTATATCCAATTCAAGCTTACATACACCTTGCGTATCATCAGCCACAAGTGTCCACATGTAAGTGCCCCATGCTACAACTAGCTGAACAATTCTATCAATTCATGTATATATGGAAGTGGTTTATGTCTGAATTTTTTGAACTCAAAATTCTCCTACACATTTACAAGAACTAAGTCCAATATATTGACAAAATAAAACATCAAATATATAGCATGTCATATATAATTCTATACCTTAATCTTTTGATTCCACCACTCCTTTGGTGCTAATACAATAGTATTTTTTTCCCTATCCCATCCTAAACCAATCTCTTTATTCAATAGTTTGTCCCATATATTTCAGTCTTTTCCAAATTGTTCCATTTGTTTTTCAACTTCTTCTTATCATAACTTTTTGAGCTTAATGTATTGAACTGTTACATTAACGCCTTCTAGCCTCCTTTGATAAAGTAGAGCTTTTCCACTCATTTTTTTATTTCTAACTTATTGAAGAGTTAATTTAATAAACAGTTCATGCTCTTCAGTAGCCCATAAAGCCTTCTTTTTACTCATATTTATTATTAAAATATTATTTTCTCAATAATCAAGTGATATACATCACATAAACTATTGATAAAATATAATAATGAACATCATATAAACTATTTATACATCCTCACTAATATAATAATGAACATCATGCAAACTATTTATACATTCTCACCAAACGCATTCCCAGCAAATTTGAAGACATGGATGATGATTACTACTTAAAGATTAGGAAAATGTGATGTAAGCATACACATGATATCAAAAAATAGTATAATTTGTCCTTATTAGCATCCTTTTTAGATCACATGATTTCTTAGGCAATTAATTTATTTGGTCAAATTAAGCAATTAAATTATAGAACGTACCATTTGAAAATAACATTATTCATACAAAACTAATCAATATCAAGTATATAAAAATCAAACTATGATAATTATATTAAAAAAATTAAAAAATAAGTTGAATTCAGACATTTGTAAATAGAAATTTTAATTGCAAATTAAAAGTTAGATTTGAAATTTAAATATATAACTTGAAATTAAAACTCTTCCATTTATATTTTTCTACTAATTTTTTTGAAAAACAATTTGCTATAACCTGAACATCATTGGATTAAAGTTTTGGATGTTAAACAATATTACTATTACATAATCAATAAATATTACTACTAATATCAAGTGTAAAAACCTCGGAGCAAGTGATCTACTTCTATAGTATTTACTAATTTTTTTGAAAAACAATTTGCTATAACCTGAACATCATTGGATTAAAGTTTTGGATGTTAAACAATATTACTATTACATAATCAATAAATATTACTATCAATATCAAGTGTTTCGGAGCAAGTGATCTACTTCTATAGTATTGACAAATTTGCTAAAAGGATTCTCCTTTTTTATTTCTCTATAGCATCAGTAATTAAAAACCTCTAAATTTGACCTTACTAATAGTTAGTGTTGGTGATATATTACAAGCACAACTTTTGAATTTTCTCATCCAAAGCTCAGATGGAATATGTCTATAAAAAAACAATGAATCTAAATCTTCACATATCCTTGAACTACTTGTGAACAAAATCCTAAACTTGAGCTAGTTCTGAGCTTACCAATACTCTACCATTTGCACTTTGAACCACTTTTTGTCTATTCAATGCTGAAATTAACAACCAAAC